TGAGCCACCGCGCCCGGCCTCGATCTCTTGACCTCATGATCCACCCGCCTCGGTCTCCCAAAGTGCTGGGATTACAGGCTTGAGCCACCGCACCTGGCTAATTTTTGTATTTTTAGTAGAGACAGGATTTCACCATGTTGGCCAGGCTGGTCTTGAACTCCTGACCTCAAGTGATCCACCTGCCTTGGCCTCCCAAAGTGCTGGGATTACAAGCATGAGCCATGACACCCGGCCTCATTTTTGTATTTTTAGTAGAAACGGGGTTTCACCATATTGGCCAAGCTGGTCTCGACCTCCTGACCTCGTGATCTGCCTGCCTTGGTCTCCCAAAGCACTGGGATTACAGGCGTGAGGTACTGAACCCGGCCCCAAAATTTTCATAACCCCAAACCAAAACTCTGGAACCATTAAGCAGTAACTCCACATTGTCCCCTACTTCCACCCTCCCGCCCCTAGTAACATCTAATCTACTTTCTGTTTCTTTGAATTTGCCTATTCTAGGTTCTTACATAAGTGGGATCATACAATTTTGTGTCTGGCTGACTTCATGTAGCACGTTTTCAAGGTTCATCCATGTTGTGTCATGTATCAGAACCCCATCCCTTTTTACGGTTGGATAATATTCTGTTGATGTATATACCACATTTTGTTTTTCCATTCATCTGTTGACAGACACCTGGGTGTTTCCACGTTCTGGCTAAATGAATAATGATGCAATGAATATTGGCATACAAGTATTGTCTGAGTCCTTGAGAATGGAATTCCTGGATCATATGGTAATTCTATGTTTAGATTTTTGAAGAACTACCAAACTTTTCAGTGACTGTCTGTGTTATTTTACATTCCCACCAGCAATATATGAGGGTTCCAATTTCTCCACATCTTTACCAGCACATATTTTCCATTTTGGGGTTGGATAATGGCCATCCTAAGGCATTTGAAGTAGTATCTCATCGTGCTTTGGATTTGCATTTTACTTTTTGTTTGTTTGTTTTTGAGACAGAGTTTTGTTCTTATTGTCCAGGCTGGAGTGCAATGGTGCGATCTTGGCTCACCACAACCTCTGCCTCCTGGGTTCAAGTGATTCTCCTGCCTCAGCCTTCTGAGTAGCTGAGATTACAGGCATGCACCACCACGCCCAAGCTAATTTTGTATTTTTAGTAGAGACAGGATTTCTCCATGTTGGTCAGGCTGATCTCGAACTCTTGACCTTAGGTGATCCTCCCTCCTCGGCCTCCCAAAGTGCTGGGATTATAGGCGTGGGCCACCCCGCCTGGCCAGATTTGCATTTTCCCAATGGCTAATGATGTTGGGTATCCTTTCACGTGCTTCCTTGCCATTTGCACATCTCCTTCGGAGAAATATCTATTCAAGTCCTTTGCCTATTTTCTTTTTTTACACAGAATACAAATAAAAGTTTATTGTACAAAATTAAGGCCTTCATATTTCATAGTTCACCAAGGCTAAAGAAACACTAGTTTAAGTCCTTCACAAAAATTTCACTTTCACTCCCCCTAATCTCTAACTATTAAAATGACCCAACTAAATGCTATCAAAACAAACACATAATACCAAGTCCTTTAAAGACAACTATCCCAAATGTTATTTCTTGGCATAGGTGATCTTCATAGCATGGGATGGTGTGATCTTAAATCCCTGTAAAGCATCCCTGGCAGCTCCAGCCTGCCCATCATTTTCAAATTCAACAAAAGCAATGTCATGCCTCCCTGGTACTAGACGTACTTCCTTGAAGCCAGGGAACTGATTAAACAGCATGGATAACATCATCTCCTTAGTCTCTTCTGGTAAGTTATTAAGGAATAAAATATAGTTTGGAGGGTAATCAGGGACCTGAGGATTTGGTATTGAATTTCCTTGGCTATTGGCTGAATTTGGAGTTCCCTGGCCAGGCGTTTTGTTTGTGGTCGTTGCAGTCTGTTCCACAGCTTTGGCTTTTTTCTTTTCTTTGTCAGCAAAAGTGCCACGCATTTTAGATATTATATCCGAATCTGTTTTTGCATACTGTATTCACATTGGTTTACCATAAAATGGAAATCCTTGTAACTGTCTCAAAGCATTCGTGGGTAAGCCCAGTTCCTTAAATATGACAAAGGCCTGCCCCCTCATCTTCATTGTCTTTAAAGCCACAGTGTCCACCACATGACCAAACTGAGAAAACAGGGCATAGAGGGATCTCTTCAATTCTACCTTTTTAATTTTGTCATTCATATTGTTGATATAAATTGTATGATTTGGTCTGATATCCATGTTTGTGTTAAATTCTTCAAAAACAGACAATAAATAATCTAAGGCGTACGCTGTCCCTCGCCATATATAGTATCCTTAACTTAAATGTACCATTATATACATTCTAGTGTTATCAAAATTTACATAAATATTATCAAGTCAGATAAGTTATTCTGTGCCTTAGTATTTTCATTTCATATTTGGTATATGTGTGTGTATATACACACATACTTATATATATTTAAATAAGATATACATTCACACATCTAAAACAATGTGCAGAGGTTTACAGAGAAAGGTCTCATGCCTAATCCTGTCCTTTTCTGGCAGGTGACCACCTTATTAATTTCTTTTCATACCTTGCCACAGAATTTTCACTTGCAAATACAGATATTCTTTTTTTTTTTTTTTAATGACAGAGTCACGTTCTGTTGTCCAGACTGCAGTGCAGTGGCATGATCTTCGCTCACTGCAAACTCCGCCTCCTGGGTTCAAGTGAGTCTCCTGTCTCAGCCTCCCAAGTAGCTAGGATTACAGGCGTAAGGCATAGGATTACACCACACCCAGCTAATTTTTGTATTTTTAGTAGAGATGGGGTTTCACCATGTTGACCAGGCTGATGTTGAACTCCTGACCTCAAATGATCCGCCCACCTCGGCCTCCCAAAGTGCAGAGATTACAGGCATGAGCCACCACACCTGATTAACACAGTCATTCTAATTCATTTTTTACACAGATTGTTTTTTTACATAGCATTCTTCTACACCTTTCTTTTTCCACTTAACAATGCACGTGGAGATTTTTCCATATTTGTACATTAGGAACTTTCTCTTTGTTACCACATTAAATTCCATTAGGTATGAGGTGGGAAATTAAAGAAAGAAAAGAAAATTAAAAATCAAAAAGGGAATAAAACAAGTCTTCTGTATTAGGCTGAAGGCAGTTAACAGGCAAAGCCCAGGCCCAGGGGAAACCTTGATAACATTACCTCAGAAGCCAGAGTTCAGAGGAATGTGCTCTGGAGACTTTTCCAGCATTCCCTCAACATAAGGAGGGAAACCAAATTTTCCTTATACCCTTACCTCTATAGTATGAGTAAGCTTAGGAATCTGTAGGTATCTATCTCCTGTATAACTTCACATAGTCTGTTTTGTATCTAAGTAACACAGTGAAGGCACGAGAAATGTCTAAGCAGGCCGGAACTGCAGACAGCAAGGAGCCAGGACAAAGGCCAAAAAATAAACTCATGCAGCACTGTCCAAACCGGCCCAAGTCCAAGATAAGGGACACCTGGCCCGTATACCAAGCATCATATGTAAGCCTGTCGCAGTTTTGATTAACTGCTTTTATTCTCGCTTCTGTAAACCTGCTTCCTGCTTCATGATTTCGGGGCCCTGGATGCATAAAAGACACTTGTTCTCTTTGTCCATTGCTCAGACTTTCTGTATGCAAATCCACTGAGCCGGTGTACACCTGAAATAAATCCTCCTGTAACCTCATTGGTCTCCGGTTCCCTGATTTCTCGCAACAGGTAGATGTAGCATAATTTAACTGGGTCCTTATTCAAAGACAATTGAGCTATCTCCTAGACAAAGCCTTATCCACCTTCCCTAACAGAGGGTCTAATCAAGCAGGCAGAATGGGGTTATAAAGTGGGTGGGGAGGTGGGAGAGACTCCCCATCAGGCTCCGGAGAGTGACTGAATTTCATTCCTCTGGTTTCCTGGTCTGGTCCCTAGAAGGGTTCACATTCCCAGGTGGGCTGAGGATGGAGATAAGGCCTTGCCACAGGACAGAAGGGAAGGTGGGGATGAGAGGTGGGAGGCAAGATAGTGCCTCCCCATCGCCTGACAGGCTGGGTTCTCTGATGTCTTTGCCTCCATGGCCCAACCGCCCGCTGTTCTTACTCAGCCCCCTCCTCCATTTGCCACTGACCTGTTGGCCTCCCCCTAGCTCTGAGCCTGACTCTCCCTGGGTAATTTCCTGAGATGCCCACCCCCTTGCCTCCCACAGCATCTGCTCTGGGACCATGAACGAGAGCTGACGGCTCCATGGCCTTTGCTGGCCCCAGCTCAGATTCCCTGGGCATCTAAACCTCAGCTGCCCCAGGATAGGAGGATGGGCTGAGCAAGCACAAGTCTGAGGCTGTCTAGAGTCCCACCCCTGCATCAGCAGGCCATGACCTGTGGTTTCACCTTGTGCAAATTTGAGAGGAATTGCATAAAATACTGAAGAAATAAAAGAGGGGAAGTCCATAGGGGTGGCGGCTTCCTATAAGTCACAGAGAAAGCTGGTGGCAGAGCCTGAACCTAGAGCTCTGTTGGGTGGGAAACAGGTGGGTACTGCCTCCAAGCCGGGGAAGGGCTCCTTCTCACCTCTACATACCTCTCCTTTCTTGGCTCAGCTGCCCTGTGGGGGATGCAGGGTGGGGAGGGCAGAGATCTGGGCCTGGGAGGGGGACAGTACACAATCTTGTGGCTGCTGCCCTTCCCTCAGGCCTTGTCCACCTCTGACTGTGGGTCTCTGAGAGGAACAGATGGGCATGGCCTGGCAGGTGACCCAACTGCTGCTTCTGGCTTTGGTGACCGCTGCAGGGAGCGCCCAGCCCAGGAGTATGAGGGCCAGGATGGGCCTGCTGAATGTCTGCATGGACACCATGCACCACAAGGCACAGCCCGGCCCCGAGGACAACCTGTATGGCCAGGTGAGGATAAAGTGGGTTCTGCGGCAGGGGAGAGGGCTGCCTCTGATAGACAAACGTTAGTGGGGTGGAGAAGCCAGCTGTGGGAGGTGATGAAGGCAGGAGGATGGCTGCTGTGATCCTGGAGGGTCTCCCCACCAGAGGCCATCAAATCTAAAATAATAAAGAGACCACATACCTAACAGCCACTATGAGCCTATGACTCACATGCTTTCACTCATGCCATGTTAGTGAATAAGCCCAAAGGGCAGGGTGGGTGTGTGGTGGTCTCCACTTATGCAAATGAGGAAATAGGCCCACAGAGGGTGCAGGTGCAAGTGGGAACTGTGGAGAGGGATTGTCCATACTTTCCCAGGCTTAATTACATGTCAGTCCACAGAGCTCAATGGCACAGTAGAAGAGGAGCTGGGCCCCTCATGGTCATGGTGCGGCCAACACGTACAAACAGGCCAGCTTCCCACCCCCATTAGGTACTGAAGAGACAGTGACCAATCAGATATGCTGGGGAGACTTCCCAGTGAAGAGGCCATTGGCCTTGGCCTGGGAAGATAAGTAAGAGTTTCCCAGGAGGAAAAAGCAGGAAAGGGCAGCCTGGCGGAGGACAGCATGCACTCAGGTCAGAGGGTGATGGCATGAGCCATGGTGGGTCCAGTGTGGCCAGAGCCAAGGGTGCTGATGCCCAAAAAGTAGGGGAGGGAAGGCCAGGGTCCCCATTCCACAGGTAAGGCCACTGAGGCAGCTCGGGGAGGGCGAGCTTGAATTTGAACTCCAGGCTCAGGAGAGTGCCTGCATTTCATTCCTCTGATCTCCTGGTCTGCTTCCTAGAAGGGTTCACATTCCCAGAGGGCTGGGATGTGCCCAGGGGAAGCCTGTGGCATGGACAGGATCTGAGGGCTAAAGTGAAGAGAGGACAGCCCGGAAGCCCGGTGACATCTGAGTCATTCCCAACATTCCATTTGTTTTCTTTAAAAAACCGTGGTAAAATTAGAAAAAAAAAAAAAAAAAGAAAAGATACAGAACATAAATATCCCATTTTAGCTGTTTTTAACTGTCCAGTTCAGTGGCATTAAGTATGCTCATGTGGTGCAACCATCACTACCATATTCATCACCTGACCTATTTCATCCTCCAAAACTGAAACAGAAACTCTGTGCCCACCACTTCATTTACTTTTCAGAACCTCCTAGGGCACCTCCTCTTTGCCAAAAAATGGTGTAGATGTAGACCTTTGAGGGAGATAGATGATTATAATTCTCAGGGCTGTGAGCTATATAATATATGAGTGATGATATTTGCAGAGCCCCTACTATAGCCAGAGAGTTCTTTCCATTATATAGGTATTGATCGACTTACGACCTGTGCAACTTACGACCATTCGACTTTACGACCACAATCGCTAGCCACGACTGCTCCACGTCTGGCAGCGCAAACGTTGCCCATCTGGGCGTACGACAGTGCGGACCAGCTTCCGGCAGCACTACCATCTCCGCGTACACCATTTCAACTGTTATCCCAGACTCGGTACAGCAATTTGTGTTTTGTGTCTTGGATATTTTTAATCAAACCCCTCCCAATAAATTTCTTATACATTTCGAAGCAATGGACCCAAACGTCGAACGATTTGCAAGGATTGAACGGATGGCACGTGATGTGTTCTGTCCGTATTGTGAAATTTATGAAGAAAAAAAGAAACATACAATTCAGACAAAGCTCACCATGTTTATGAAAAAACCAACTCCGGTAACCCCAACTGCTGCCACAGATGATGACATCAACGATCCACAGCCAAGCACCAGCGGCCAATAAAATGTTTCATACATGTTTATATATTTTGATATGTTTTACAATTGGGAAAATGTTTCCTATGGTATTTTTTACACATGTATTTTGTATTTTTATATGTACCTGTATTTTGTAATTTTGTATGTTTTGCAAATATTAAACCAGTTCTACTGGTAATGCAGTGTTTTACTTAAACCTGACGAATGTAAAAATAAGAAACAAAATGGTGTAGAGATGATACAAATGGCATAAAATGAACAAAGAAAATTATGATATATAACAATAATAAAAGAAAATTATGATAAAATATGACTTAAAGATTTTTATAATATCATTTCACAGTACTGTACATATAGCCTACTCAACTTACGACCAAATCGTGCTATGACCGGTCTGTTGGAGCCGATCGTGGTCGTAAGTCAAGCACTAGCTGTATTCACTAACCCTTTCAGAGGCAGAAACTCCTGACTCTGACAGGCAAGACCCATGTCTGCCAAACCCCAAGACCCATGATGTGCAAGGGGTCTTGCAGGGATACCAAGAGTTGGAGATGCAAGGAAACGCAAGTGTGAAGTCGGGCAGCCGGGGAAGCATGTTGTGTG